TCTTGTTTTCAGTCCTGCGTGGTGAACTGAAGTCCCCAAAGTGGTTTGCTGCTGCCGTTGTAGCTGGGCTGGCACTGTGGTCCCACACTCGGGTCCCCCCATAGCCCCGGGCTGGTGGCGGTGCCGTAAATCCCAGTCTGACCCGAGCAAGTGGAAACTCGCTCTTGACTTCAGCGAGGCCCGAGCTGAACATGGTACATGTAATCTGTTTTCAAATATTTGGCTTTAGGAGCGCGTTGTTCCTGTAACAGAGCTGTTTTGAACACAGCTCAGAAGGCATTCCTACTGACTGCAACTTTCAAGAAGGACCTTTGGGGATTGGCTTTTCCAGCTTTGCCAAGTTTGCCGCATTCCTTGGACCACCAGGTCAGGCAGGAACACTCCCAGTTCTTCATGTGTCCCCTTTGAAATAGTAACTTTCTAGAGCATAAGCTGGCTTTTACAGAAAAACCAAGAGTCATTAACAACATTAACTTTAGTGGCAATTAGAATAACATATTCTTGACTGTTGGCCAGATTGTTTAGGTCATAGGGTAAAATATTCTTCTTGTGTAAAGCCCTGCAGGCCTTCCACTGTGCTACAGGAGGTGAGGGGGAAAGGGGGGGAAAAAAAAAAAAAGAAAAACAAAAAGCCCCCCAACCCTGTTTCCTGACATTTTGGGTAGAGTGAGGTGTACTTCCAAGCTGATCTCTCAAATTGTAACCTCTCTTACTCATGCAAGAAAACTGTTAGAGCCATCATTAGAGATGGCAGGTTCATTTAAAAATTACGAATAACATATTTGAAATGCAGGGGCTTTTCCCACCCCCCTTTAGAATTCATTAGCAATCATTTATCCCAAGACGTGGTGCTAGCAGCTCCTTCTGCTGAAGTCTGGCCGTACCCTTGTGGTGTGCACCAATGTCCTGGTGCCAGGTGGGAGCTGTGCACCCATGGTGCTGTGCCACCTTCACAGAGGCATTCGAAAAAAAAAAAAAGAAAAACAAAAAGCCCCCCAACCCTGTTTCCTGACATTTTGGGTAGAGTGAGGTGTACTTCCAAGCTGATCTCTCAAATTGTAACCTCTCTTACTCATGCAAGAAAACTGTTAGAGCCATCATTAGAGATGGCAGGTTCATTTAAAAATTATGAATAACATTTTTGAAATGCAGGGGCTTTTCCCACCCCCCTTTAGAATTCATTAGCAATCATTTATCCCAAGACGTGGTGCTAGCAGCTCCTTCTGCTGAAGTCTGGCCGTACCCTTGTGGTGTGCACCAATGTCCTGGTGCCAGGTGGGAGCTGTGCACCCATGGTGCTGTGCCACCTTCACAGAGGCATTCCCTGTACAAATTCCTCACAGGTCAGGTATTTTTGGTTATTTTTTTTTTTAGCAATCTAGATAGAAACTAATTACTGTTGAATTAAGTTCACTCATGTCCAAGGCCATCTCAAAAAGTAGCTGTGTCAGTTAATACACATACCTGTGCTCGATGCTGTAAGGTAGCCACTGATCTTAGGAGACTCCAGAACTTGGCTCTGGCAACCAAGAAGCCCCTTTGTGGGATGGTGTCCACTTGGAGCCAGGCCCAGCTTCAAAGTCACACCTGTTCCTGGTGCCAGCAGTGCCTTGGCCTCCTATGGTGACCCAGACCCCTCGAGGACCTGTCCTGCCCCTCTGCTCTGGGGCCGGGTTCTCCAGCAGTTCTTGCCAGTGGGAAAATTGTAGGGTAAAGTGGCGAACTCCTACAGTGGAACTCCTCAGAAATGAATTCCTGAGGAATGCTTGAGGCCTGCTGTCCTCGTCAGGGAAACTGAGCTCACCGCGGGAGCAGCTGGGCTGCCTTTGAAGCTTTTCCTTCTTGGATGGACCACCCATTCCCATCACGGCCCTGGCGCTCGCTGGCTGTTTCGCTCCCCCGGGCGAGGACCTAGTGTCTCCCTGGGGCCGCCCGCACCCCGCACACCCCGCTGGCAGCTTGTGGTCAAAATAGTGGAGACAAAGGTCAAAAAACCAAGAAACGCCCCAGATTTTTCTTGGTGGTGTTTGGTTTCTAGAAGGCAAGCACCAAGCATGTGGCTCGGCAGAAGAATCTAAAAGAGCGTGTTATTCAAAGTAACACTGAGGCGTGGCAGACATGTAAAATTCCTTCAACTGGCTGAAGACAGAAAAAAAAATCTCATTTTAAAGCAATGTTGCATTTGCTAAATAATTTATGCAAGATTCACTGTTGTGTTATTTGACATACAACTCTGTCAAGCAACGACGCTTTTGAAAAGTTGCCTAGAGGATCAGATTTCCCATTCAACAGGGAATTAAAAAATGTTTCTGGAATTTTGCTTTGCAGTCGGGAATCTATTTTCTTATCTCACATTGTACAATTTATTTTTCCTAAAGCAGTGTGCTAAATTATTTGTTATTGTTGGACTCGGTCGAACAGCTTTATCCCTGATGTAGTCAAGAAGTGTTGGAGTAAAACCAAGGATGAATTTGTCACAGTGTGCTCACCACATCAGCTGGTCTTTAGGTTAACTGTCAAAAGACAATATTTCTGCTAAAATCGTTAGTGAAGGTCCCTTAAACCTTCCCAAAGTTGCCTAAAAACTTCAGGTTGTGGCAAAGTCAGTGCAGGAGTGCTTCCCAGAGGTGTTCGTCAGCAGACAGCATGGAAGCAGGTGGCAGTTCTTTGGGTTAGATTTATATACTTGGACTATTTTTATAGGTTTCTGTCTTATAAAACCAGAGAGTTGACATTCTGATTTATTAACTATCAAGACTGCAGGACATACAGGCTTTAAAAAGATTGAATGAGGTAAAATGTTTTTGATTGCAGTCTGGGTTGAGAGGCTGTAAAAAGGTGGGCCAAGTAAATATGACAAAATGGAAGTGATAATTTGAATATATGCATTAAATTGTGTGTGAAGGAAAGCAAAGTTAGGATAGCATCAAATGTAATTTATTTGGCGAAGTAGTAGTATAAAGAGAACCAGAATCATGTGTTTGTTCATTGCGATATATTTTTATTTAAGGAAGAGTCTATAAAGCATAAGGTTCAGCAAACAGCGTTTTATTGAATCAACATAGCACAGATGATGACTTACAATATGGAGAGCTTAGTGAGTGATACTTTTTATAACCAAATCCTTAAATTCATTACCGCTGTGTAAGTGGCATATCTGATTTGTTAAGACGAACCTTATATCTAGCCCTTAATGGAAATTTTGTAGTGGAAGGGTATGTATAATTTAACAGTAAAAAGACCTGAAAACGTGCAGATCAGTTAATTGCTAAGAGGGATGCTGTGATACGCCACAAGCAGGCATTGATTTTTAATATTTCCATTGCAATTGGAGGGGTACGTCATGTTATGAGTGCTCCACGGAAAACTGCAGAGCGTTTTACAGGGGTTGATTGATGTTATCGCGCGCGGTGCAGAAGATGGTATAAAATGTGCTTTGGCTGGATAGTGGTAGCAGAGCCCTACTAATGTGTGTGTCTGAATTGCAGTGCTTGTGGCAACCAGTTTTCGTCTCTAATAAATTTTATTTTTCAGCTCTGTTTCATGTTCCCAGCGTTGGTTGTCCTTAATCTTTTTGGCGCTGATCTAATTTTAGAAACAATTCATCTCTCTGTTCGCTGGCATTTCCTTAATGGCTTAAAACCCAGACGCATCCCAAGCCAACAAGGTGGCATCTCCCTCCTGCCTGCCTCCAGCGTTGCTGGGCTTTCGGGCTCAGCCAGTGTGGGGGAATGTCTTCTGCTGGAAGAGCTTGTGGTTCCCTTTCACTTTGCTGGAGGATTCCCCAAATGTTCCCATCTGACCCCCAGGGTGTATTTGGACCGTGCGAGTTCTCATGAAGGCAGATGGGATGGTGGCACCTGCAGCTGTATGGCCCATGTTGGTGGGACATGCGTGTGGAAGAGGCATGGGCATTTCTGTTTCAGATGGTCACCAAAGCCCGGTCAGCGTGGCCGGTGTGTCCAACAAATGCTTTCCCTCCTGAGAGGGCAACAAGGAATTAGAAGGGCATTTTCACCCCTGCAGCCTCTCTGGAGAATCCAAGTGAGGGCTGGCTGCAGTGCTGCACGGAGCCACGGGGCATGATGGGCTTCAGGGTGGCCACTGTGGCCAAGGGGGTGTCCTGGAGTCATAAGGATGTGGCTGCAAGCTCATCCCTCGTGACAGTCTGCTGAGTGCATGCTGGGGGGACTGGGTATGGTCCCTGCATCCCACCCCACTGCCAGTGGAGAGCCAGCCACCACCCTGTGAATGGAGCACCCACCTTCATGGCCTCAGGATGCACAGCCCTCCTGCACCTGGGTGTTTCTGGAGCTGCCAGAGAGCTTGGTCTCCTTGGACACAAATGCACATGAAAACTTGTGGGGTTTTTTTGGCAAAGATGTTTGTGCTAGCCCACGTGCTGGTCACAGATGAAGATAAAAAATATCTGAGAGACCTGAAGGTCAGATGCAATGCTGTTGGCTCCTGGCGCAAGGCTCATTTGCCCAGCAAAGTGCCTCTCGTTAGTTCAGTGGGACCTCTCACGTCCTGGGGTGTACGTGTGCTTTGGAGGGTCTTCAGCTACAGCGTTTTTTTGTCTTGTTGTTACTAATATTGGGGCTTGGAGGCGGTGGGGAGAGGAGAGCACTGAGAATTAAAATTCAGCACATGCCTTTTCTTTGCGGGCTGTAATTAATCTTGCCAATTTTTAAAGCTTTGAGAATCTGGTTAAGTGATAAAACACTAACAACTTTATATGACAGAGAGTTAGAGGCTCCTGCTATACACCCACCAGAGAAGATTAGGAGAGAGTGTTGCAGGATTCACACTAAGCAGCAGAGAATACAGTTGAGAATTGTTGCACCGCATGATATAAAAACCACATTAATATAATGAAAGGTGTCGGGAATAATGTGAGAGCGGCTGTAATTAAATGTATCTTAATAAGTGCAACATCCTTCTTAAAGCTCTTATTTTTCAGACCTCTCAAACTTAGAGGATGTTCTTGCTGTTGGCAGGTGGCCTGGGAGGAGAGCTGGAGAGCGAAGCGAAGGACAGCCGGGCCCTGGAAGAGAGGAACAGTGTGACGAGCCAGGAAGAGAGAAATGAGGAAGATGAAGACATGGAGGATGAGTCAATTTACACCTGCGATAACTGTCAGCAGGACTTCGATTCACTGGCAGACCTGACTGAACACAGGGCACACAACTGTCCTGGAGGTAATGTTAAACTAGCTTTACAGTTCTGACAGGTGGTTAGCTGGGTAATTGGACATAGCAACAGCTTGAGGCCTCAAGTGAGATTAAAGAATTAATAATGTAATTTTACAGTTAATGTAATTTTATTGTGGTGCCTTGGGTAGCCTTTGTTCACTCCTTTAATAAAATTAAAATAAAACCAACAGCTTTCCAATTGGAATCTGTCAGTAATTATGTTAGACAAAAATGTTGTGGGGTTTTTTTAATGCTAAAAGTTTCAGGCAGGGTATTTTTCCCTCTCTCTCCAAACGTAGGAAGATTAAAAAAGTTAAATGACTGAAGTGTGCGAAACTCCCAGGAAGAAAGGCCTCTGAACCCCATAAAAGAACCTGACGATTTCTGAGATTAAAATTCATAGCGCGAGTTTCGTAATCCCACCCTAAAAATACACCGCTCTCCCTGGGTTATTGCTGCATCGCCTTTTGAATTTTATGGGAGTGAGGACGGCATGAGCCGACGCTGATCTTGATTTTTACTTTCTGTAAAGTAGGAACAAGCTCAGGGCATCGGTGTGAACAATTGCAACGTATCTTGCTTTTGCACGGCCGCCTCTGCGTGGCCGGCGGTAGCAGCAGGTATTCTGCAGAGCACGCTAAGCCGATTTACGGGGGTAGTAAAAAGCTTTGCAGATTTTAGCAAAGATTAAATAAAATCTTAGGAGGGGGAGCGCAGGATATGTTCGTATGTATTTAAATCAGAGACTCTCATCCTTCACCTTCCTGGAATCGAATGCTCTGCCATCACTTTTTCCTCCGCACTCATCTGAAATATTTTCAGGCAGTTGCTGTTACGGCAGAGGTGTAGGCTGAGGCTGACAGAGGGCAGGAGGGTTAGCTTCTCCTCTGGTGCTGCAGTGTCCCATCCTCTTTCCCCTGAGTCCGTATTCCTTCCTGGCCACTTTATTTTTTTGGCAATTAGTCATGTGGTTTTTTTCTCTCTCTCTTTTTTTTTTTCTTTTTTTTTTCCCCATAAGTAAAATGATGTTAATCCAAGAAAAAATACAGGAGACAGAGTACAGCAAGGAAAGGATGGTCAGGGCCAGGGCTTTGGCTTGGTCTGAGTCCCCTGAGATCACCTTCCCCTGTCTCACTCTGGTCTGTGGAGACGAGGTCCCCCCGCTCTCGTTCCCATCTGCTTGCTGGGAGGAAGGATGGAGGGATGTTGGGGCTTTGCCCCAGCTGCCCCCAGGGCTCCTTGCCCTGCATGCTTGTGTAAACCCTACACAGGCTGCAAACATGAACGTGTGTAAGGTTGAAAGGCTCCTTCTTGCAGGGTCATTTCTTGGGGCAGCCAACAACGATGGCTTTGGCCTGAGACTTCTGCAAATGACATTCGTACTCTATGGCAGGGGAGCAAGGAAAGAAATGTCATTGAATAGAAAAATCCTCATTTTCTAAACTGGAAGGCAAAGTGCACAGCCCAGGTGGACCTTGGTCCTTTCCAAAGGAGCAGGGATGTCATTCCTGATGCCATCCTGCATGGGGAGTGGGACAGGCAGGACCCCACGGGGCGGCCGCTGCTCTGTCACTGCCCCGTCTCCGTAAGCTGTGCTGGTGCAGCCGTTCGTGGTGCTGGGGGTGAGCCCCCCCAAAAGAAGGGCTGGTTTTAGCCCAGGTGTCTGTCTCGCTGTGTGCCCCCCCAGAACAGCTGTACTGGCACAACTGGGGGAGCGGGCACTGCTGGGGGGAGTCCCGAGGAGGAACGGAAGGTCACGACTGGGGACCAACAGTGCTATGAAAAGGAGAAATCTTTTTCCCTCAGGCAAATCTACATTGAAATGTGGCAACCTAGAGATTCTATTCCTGTCAATGCAGTCAGTGTTTTCACACCTCAGTTTTTATTTATCCTCAACGTAGCGCTCTGTTAGTTGAGACTAAGAAAACTAAACTACACTTTTTGGGACTTATCAAAATAATTTGTAAGTGTTCCCATTGCTAATTTTTGATTGCAGGTAGCATAATTTCATCTTCTTTTACTGTCTTCACATGTGCTGATGGTTTATGAAGATATTTTGTCATAAAAAGGCACCATATAAACATCTGCATATACACGAAATAGGTGCTAATTATCTCCATGTGAGGATGTCCTTGTTCCAGAGCAAGAGTGTCTGTTTTCTATTTAGTTTAATCTAGTATCCTGAAGTGATTTAAAGTAAATAGGAAGATTGCATTCATATATTCTGGAATGGGAATGTATCCATGAAGACAATCTGGAATATTGCTTGATATTTACATAACTTACCTTAAGGAAAAAAACCCCAACCCTTCAGCTTCCCCCCCAAGTTTGTTTGATAGCCAGGAGAATTTTCATTGAAAGAACGCACCTCTTTCTTCAGTTCATCCAAAAACACTTGCACTGCCTGGGTGAAAATATAAGGCCCCTTTAGGAAGTGTGGTATTTTTAAAGATTTTACCCCACCGAATAAGCTATTTGGCCACGTCCTTAGTTACTCCTTTTGCCTCTAATGCCTGCCTGACACATCTGAGGTTGTAAAGCAGTGCCTCACCTCTTGGCAAGCAAGGTTTTCACGTCTTAATCTGAAGCAGGGTTTTCAGTCATGTGTACGTGGCTCCAGATCAATACAGGTAATATTTGTAGTGATAATATCACCCGGCTGATATTACAACATAACTAATGACTTCCTTTGGGATACTGAAGTTAGGAAGGTATTGTAGCTCAGGAGTGTTGCAGGATTACAAGAGATCACTCCAAAGAATGGGATAAACCATCTATTTCACTGGAATCCCTTAGAAATTCATTACGGCGCGCTGAAGTTATAATACAGTTTGAACACAGCTGCTTTGACATGTAAGGAGGTAACAAACAGCCATTTCCCCCCTTGCTTTTTCATGTATTTCAGGCTTGTTTCTTTGAGGACAAAACACCACTGAAATCTAGACATCTCTGGTAGCATAAGTGCATGGCATTCCTTTTGATGTCAGTGTAGTAGAGACGTTCTCCTTCTGACAGAATTAGGTGCCTTTTATACCTTCTGTTCATGACTGATGTCTGTGATTGCAGGTTGTAGGTTTCCAGTGTCTACGGGGATCTGAAAAGGGTCTAAATGGGGGCAGCTTGTAGTGGAGGAACATCACATTTCCTCACCGGCTCATGTCTTCCCTTGTCTCCCAGCTTGCCCCCACAAATGAGCTCTCCTGCAGCAGTCCTGGAAATAGTGCCTTAAACAACTAGCAAGCATCCTGAAAAATACTCTTTAAGAAAAACTAAACGCAACTAGTCTGTACACCGGCTGTGCTGAGCTTTTAAAATTAGTTTAAAACTCACTGGTATCCCATGTCCCCGTAATCAGACTCAGGAATTGCCATCGACATCATGTGCAGTGTTTTTTATACATTTTTTTCTGCACGCTGATGTTGCAGTGTAGGTGTTACAGCATGATGCTATAGCATGTTATAGCTTTAGTGACAAGAGTAAAGGATTGCACGTGGATTTATGAATCACTGTGTCCTCCAGCCAGCGCCAGAGGCTGCGTACATCCAGCAACTGTTCTGCGATATGTCATTGTCCGGTGGCTGATGCCAGGTTGTTTGTTGTCTGATGAAAGGTGGCTAAAAAGCCACGAGATTTGCCATTTTGCTTGTGTGTTTTAATCCACCTGGGTTTAGCTGCAGTATTTTATTGTGTTATTGTCTGCTTCCTCCACCCATATCACCCCATTCCTCCTATGGGTCAGAATATCTTCGTGTAAACTTTTTTCTTCAGTTTCTCAACTGAAGGCAGAGTGTTTGTAAAGAAAACTAGGGCATCAATGAAGTGGACAGAAGTAGGTTTTGGTGGGGGTCTCTGAGCATTTCATGAGGTCCTCTTCTGTTGTTGATAACTTTACAGGTTGTCTGTTTCAAACAGCAGCAGAGCTATATATGGATATTGCCAGCTTGGAAGCGGCTGATTTTTCTAAACTACTGTACGGTAGGAACTAGTTTATAATTAAAGTCTCGCAGTTGCTCCTTTTAAATGCCCTGTAACTTGTACACTAGGCTTCCGTTTGAAATGAGGTATTGTAACTGTTTCATGCTAGTGTATAATTTTGCATTTTCTTGTATTTCACCTGCTCCAAGAATTATAATTGCCACGCAACCGTATATGCGGGATGCTTATCCAGAAAACCATACGCGGCAGCTTGTCAACAAGTGACGTCTCATGAATGTTGTTGTGAGGTGGTACTTTGTACTTCCCGCTGACAAAGAGAGGCTTCTTACACGTATTTCCAAAATTAGCCCTCCCCAAAATTGTAATCTTTTGTGGCACCTGATTGGCAAGTCAGAGATTTTTCCATCTTTTTGCTGCTGCTGTTGTTGCTTCTTTAAATTAATGAATTACCGATCATTACAAAAGAAACTGAAATACAGTTGTGAAAAAGCAGTGTGGAAACTTAATTATACACCTAGTTTATACAGCTGTGTCTCTAATGACCTACTGGCCCTAATTACTGTGTTGTGGCTCAGTCTGAGTGCTCTTGTCCTTGCCAGAATTCTGCTCCTTTCTGTTAACCTGACTAGTGTTTCAAGCTAAAAAAAATAACGTTTCCTTTTTTTGTTCTTTTCTACATTGTCGTGCTGAAATGCAGTTTTCCTTCTTTCCAGAGGTCATAGCAGTGTTTTAAAATTGGCACCAGAAAAGCTCAGTAATATCACAAACTGTAAAAACATGGATTTTCCCTGGAGTCCTCCGTTCTCGCTGTCTGGATCTGAAAATGGGCACCGGGGCAGTGTTTTTATTGTCAATCACTCGGAGGGCTCTGAGCGCAGGCTCCCGTCCTTAGCTTGTCCCAGGTGTCCCCTCGCCGGGTGCAGGGGCAGCAGGGCTCCCCAGGGCTCGGGCAGCCACCTTGGCCACGGTGCCCAGCACTTTCCATGCCTCCCTGTAGTCAGTATTTGTGCCCATCTGTGCCGAGAGCTCCAAAACCCTGGGTTATTGCAGGGGTCTGCTTGGCTGGATGGTCCATCTCCACCTGGGCTCCATCATCCCAGGGGATGTTTGAGTTTACCTGGAGGTTCCCACCCAGCCTGTGAGGAGGCTCTTTCCAGGACTTAGAATCATAGAATTGCCCAGGCCAGAAGGGACTTCTAAGGGTCATCTAGTCCAACCTCCCCGCAGTCAGCAGGGACACCCCCAACTAGACCAGGTTGCCCAGGGCCTCGTCGAGCCTCTCCTTGAATACCTCCAGAGAAGGGGCCTCAACCACCTCCCTGGGCAACCTGTTCCAGTGCTCCACCACCCTCACAGTGAAGAACCCTCTCCTCATCTCCAGTCTAAATGTGTTCCCCTCCAGCTTGAAGCCATTTCCCCTCGTCCTGTCACTGCAGGCCTTTCTAAACAGGTTCTTGTGGACTTGTGCCTACATGCAGCAGAGGATCAGTGTGCTGGTGAGGTGCTGGGCTGCCTGCCTTTCTAAGGCAGGTGCTCAGTGAAATATGTGTTTATCATGTAGAAGGTAAAGCATATTCCCGTCTCTGAATTTGGACCTGAAGTTCAAAACAGAAGCGCAGCTGCAAATTGAAAAGACAAACAAGGCACGGGGTAACCTTTGCTGATATGGTGGTTTGGGAGTGCATCCTGTGCAAGGTGTTTCCTGAGCTGCTGCTTGCCGGGGGACACTGGCAGTGGCCACCAGTGCTGGCCCTGCACCCACGCAGGGTGTGTGCCACGAGTGGGGGCTGCTTAGTGTAGCCTTTAACGCATTGCATATATTTGTGGAAGTTGTGCAAAGTGTTATGTGCTCCCTAACAGCCTTGCTCACCTGGCAGATCGGAGGGTCGTCCGGCAGCCCAAGGTAGGTGAGAGCCCCGGGCTCCTCCGCTCCCTCCATCGCCACGGGGGAGGCGTTTGCCGGGGCTGAGCCTCGGTGATCCTCCAGGGGTTTGCCGGGGGGGTGGGTACGGGATGTGTGAATTTAAAACAATGCTTTTCTGGCCATAAACACCCAGCTCTGGATATGCTTTGTGGCCTCATGGAGGGTCTCCTGTGGCGGGGGCATGGTGGTGAGCCCCCCGGCAAGCTCCCCAGCCTCGCAGGAGCTGGGCAGTGTGCTCGCCGATAAGAGCGTGCCAGCGCGCCGCCCCCCGCAAATCGCCACCGCCACCTTTGTGTCCGGGTTCCCCCGGGGAGGGTGGCAAGGGAGGCAGCACCAGGCACTGTGCGTGCAGATAGGAGCGCTGCCAGCACGGCTGCGGCTGGTTTGGTTGCATATAACCAAAAAAAAACCCACCCCTGGTAGGAGGGGAGGCAATGAGCTGTCCCTACCCCTTTCCCAGCCTCCCTGTCATCGTGGGCTGTGCATCCTGAGGCTGCACGAACCTTTCCTAGGGATGGTGATGTCTGTCCTCAAGCAGCATGTGTTCTTCATGCAGGAAGAAGGTTTTTCCTTGTCCTTTTTTAAATATATGGCCCAGAGAGGAGCTGAGGATGACATGTTAGCATGCTTGTATCGGCAAGGGACTGTTGCGTTCTTGCTACTTTAATTGAGTTCTTTTATCTACTTTTATCTAGTTCAAAAAGTAGCCTGCAAAGGAAGCACAGGTATTCGTGGAAATGGACAGAAGAGAAATTGGGTGCATGTTTTAAACAAGGCCTCTTAAAGAAAGCACGTCTTGAACAATTTGGTGCTTGGCTGCCTCAAAAGCCACTCTCGCTGCCTGATACGTTGCTGCATCAGAAATGGGGTGATGAACAAAGACCGAAGCACCCCAAATGCTGCGAAGCAGGAGCGAGCTGCCAGGTGCTGGCTGTGAGAGCTCCTGCCTGTGGCAGGTCCCGTGTTTGGGAGCTGGAGCCCGTCTGGCTCCCCCCCTGCACCACCCCGGGGCTCACACAGCCCTTCTGGGGCACTGGGGGTCTACCTCCCCTTCTCCCCCCACTTCAGATTTCTGTTTGAAAAGGGTAATCCATCGCCGTGGTACAGCAGAGGGAGTATTGTGCGGGTCTGAGGAGGGCAGGGTTGTATTTCAGCAAAAAACCCCAGAAATCTAAGTAAATAATAGATGTTTTTTGAAGAAGAGGAGGGAGGGGTTGGAGTGGAAGGGCTCCTTCCAGGTCTGGAGCCTGCTGAGTGCTGCAAGGGCAGCCGTGGCCGCGGGAAGGAGGATCACTGCTGTCCCAGCATTGGGGGGTTGTAGAGAAAACCCAATATGTGAGACTCAATTCAGAACTGCGGTGAGGATTGCCTGGAGACTACAACAGATGCGGGCTTGTTACACAGTGGCCTTTAATAATGCCTTAGAGAGCTCGGTGGAGGATGTGCTGGGGTTGTCCTGCCTCAGACAGACAAGAGCATAGATTGTTTGTGGCAAGGGCGCTGCCGAAGGGCGTGCGTTGCCTTCCTGAGGGCTGTTGAGGGACAAAACCATCTTGGCCGTATCAACAGCCTTGGCGGATTCAGAGCCGTCAAGATCTTCACACTGCAGATATGAACAGTGAACGAGAGGCATTCTGAAAGTGCTTTTTTCCCTGATTTCTTTCCTTTAGCAGACCAGTGGGTAAGTAGTCCTCATAATAAGGATGGCCGTACTGAGCCAGCCTGATGGTCCCATAGCACCATTTCCCCAGAATATTCTCCTAGCTGTCCACAAACTTATCTGGGCATTTCTTGGTGCTTTTCATTTAAGTTCCTCAGATAATCTTCTTCCATGAATTTCCACTTTGAAGTTTCTTGTTGAAGCAAGGTGTGCATTTAGCATTCCCCATGGTGGGAACCCAGAGTTCAGTTATGCACTGGGGAGAAGTATCCCCTCTTCTTCACTTCAGCTTTGCCACTTGCTTTCATTTGATACTTTCTGGTTCTTCTGGTGGAGAAGACAGTGAGTGATTGCCCCTTGTCCACCTTCTCCACTCACTCATGCCCGAGCAGACTTCTTTTGCTGTCTCCAAGTCCATATTTGCAATCCTCTTACTGATACCTCCTGCATCTTGACCCAGATTAATAAGAGACCGAGGCACATGGTAGAGCCTGGCTGGTAGGACAGCAAGTGGGCAAGGTATCTCTTTCTTCACTGGTGCTTCAGATGTGGTCATGTTTGCATGTCTGTCCTGGTTCCCGAGCAGGAGGTGAGGGGTAGTACTTGTCCTGGTGTGAAGACCCGGCAGACAGAAAGATGGTGTCTGGCCATGTAGGGGAAAAACAATTAAGACTTCAATGTTTATTAAGAAAAAAGCAACCAGCAGTGCATTTCAAGCACTCATCACACAACATAATTTTGCTGCTGGAAGTAGTGGGATTAAAAAAGTCTTTCTAATGTTGATTTCTTTGAATAAGTAGAATATAAATGGGTTTTAAAAAAAAATCAATTAAAACTAAGGGAAGTGTGTGTACAAACATTGTCAAGAATTCCTATCTTTCATTTTTTTTTTTTTTAAAACAAGCTCTAGAAAAAAATCCCCACAGAAGTTCTGTAGTGCATATTTGAATGCTTTTGTTGTAGCCTCATTAAACTTGGCTTGTCTGCAGATACAGCTGGCATGTTATTAACTGTGCTCCAGGCTTGGGGAAGCCAGAAAGCAGCCTCCACCCCCCAGTGCCGGCTGGCTTGAGGGAAACGTGCCAGCATGGGTTGGTCCTCTTCAGCTGGCTGGCTTTGGGAGCGCTCGCTAGAGCATCTCCGCATGGCCTCTGGCTCCGGGAGCCCGGGGCTCAGCCTGCCTCAAGCCCCCACCCCAGGGAGGGCTCTGTGGTGTCACCCCCGCCGGCTGACAGCCCTCAGCCGTGCACCACGGCCGTCCCTTCTGAGCAGGATGGATCCACCAAGGTACGTGGCCTCCCGTGGACAACCTCAACCGGGTGCCTGCGCTCCCCGTAGGGCTCTTACGCCTTTCTTTGCTGCGCGTTGGCAAGAGGCAAATTAGCGCTCGTCTGCCAAATAGTTTCTCTGTTCTGAAAGTACTCGTTGTTGGACTGAACCAGTCAAATAAATTGA